ATGCCAGACATAGGGCCTCTACACTACTTTAACGGCACAAACTAGATCCAGGGGAGGTACACTTGTGTAGTGTAAATAGTTGGATCTAGATTCAAATCTGTCTTTAAGAGATGTCTCCCACACTACCTCCAGAGGTCTACACCACATACCCCTCTCTGAGTGGTACAGTGTAAAGACAACGGCTCTCCCACAACACGTTACCTTAACACTAGCACATTAGAGGCTGCTGCCTATTTACATAGATTAGAAATCACTGGCCACTTTAATAAATGGAACACTAGTCACTTTAATAATGTTTACATATCTTGCATTACTCATCTCATATGTATATACTGTATTCTATACTATTCTACTGTATCTTAGTCTATGCCGTTCTGACATTGCTCGTCCATATATTTATTTATATATTCTTAATTCCATTGCTTTACTTAGATTTGTGTGTATTGGGTATATGTTGTGAAATTGTTAGATATTACTTGTTAGATATTACTGCACTGTCAGAGCTAGAAGCACAAGCATTTCGCTACACCCGCAATAACATCTGCTAAACACGTGTATGTGACCAATGGCATTTGATTTGGTTTGATTTGATTTAACTACCTTAATACCAGTAGACAACATGTTTGCTCTGTTAGCCAAATTGAAAATTAAAGTCTGGGGCCTCCCGAGTGGCGCAGCAGTCTAAGGCTCTGCATCGCAGTGCTAGAGGCGTCACTACAGACCTGGGTTAGATCCCAGGCTGTGTCGCAGCCGGCCGCGACCGGGAGACGCATGAGGCGGCGCACAATTGGCCCAGCGTCGTCCGGGTTTGGCCGGCCTGGATATCCTTGTCCCATCGCGCTCTAGTGACTCCTGTGGCAGGCCGGGCGCATGCACGCTAACTTCGGTCGCCAGTTGTATGGTGTTTCCTCCGACATATTGGTGCTGCTGGCTTCCGGGTTAAGCGGGCAGTATGGCTTGGCAGGGTCGTGTTTCGGAGGACGCATGGCTCTCGACCTTTGCCTCTCCCGAGTCCGTAAGGGAGTTGCAGCGATGGGACAAGACTGTAACTAACAATTGGGGAGAAAAAGTACAAAAATACATTTTTTTAAAGGCTTTTAAAATAGCCACACATTTGTGAATCATTGCATTAATCAGGTGTGAAACACTATATGTAATGTGGTTTAGATGAGAAGCTCCTGTATACTTTGAATTGCTATCCTTATTTTGTTTGTCTATATACTATGGTATTTACGGTATAATAGCTGCACTCACATGAAGCAGGAATGTGCCTTTGGCCACACCACATCCAAGGCTAATGTAAACAGAAAAGTTGCAAATCTAATGTTGAAGAGAGATAGATCTCACTAGACATATTTTACTAATGTAAATCCACCCAGGTGTGTTGTTGAGGCCCTTACAGTACCAGTGAGTCAGTGGCTGAGAAGCTTGTGAGAGGCTGACTGGATTGAGACAGTCCCCCCTAAAGTGGAGAAAAGTCCTAATCGTTTGTCCATGAAATCATTATACACTATGATCCCAGATAGATCCTAACAGATCTAATGAGGTCTGGTGGATTGTTGAGATCAGGGAAAGGTCAGGAAGAAGTCAACTTAGTATTGGTCCCTTCAGGGTTGTGTCATCGCTGTTGGACTGTTTGACTCCCACTATTACCTCAAGGGACAGCTCTCCAACCCAGTCCCAGCTGACCTATAATGGTATATATATTCTACAGCCTAGTCTGACTACCCAGATTGAGGAAATGTTTTTTCACAAAAGTAGTGGAGTATTATTCACAAATGTAAATGATCTTCATCAGGCTTCCCTAAGCTGAGAACATTGTGTAGAGATTGTTTTGAAGTCTGTGAAAGTTTGTATGGTAAATCTACAGTCTCGTCTGAATACTCAGATAGAGGAAAATGCATGTTTTTAAACGAGACGAATAATCTATATTCACAAAGATAGTGTAGCATTCACATCTTGAATATGTCTGTAAGCCCCAGGGCAAGACAGTTACTGTAGCATCATCAGACTAGGCCAGTTACAGGGTTTGCTCCTTCAAGCCATTAGCTCCTTGAGGAATATACTTCATCTATTCTTGTCAGAGAAACAATCAAACTTCTCCAGTTGTTGTCAGAACAACAAAGGCATTTTTGACTAAAAGAGAGTTGGGTTTTGATGTTCAACCACAGCCATGATTAGCCTACATGGACAGCTGTGCTCCCGATCCCATAGCCACCTGTTTTACCAGCGCTCATCTTGACCAACTATGACATTAGTTTGACATTAGTCTTGACCAACACTGTATTATGGTGAGCTGCGTGGTCTTGACTCTTGACCGTGAACAAAGGCTCCTGGGATAATAAGATTATAGTCTGGCACTTTCTCTCTGAGCAAACATCAATGACACTAAGTGTAGTTTGAGTAACACTCTGTCACAGAAGAGACTGGTTTGAGCAACACACAGAGGTTCCGTCCCCGTCCCCACCCCCACCCTGCTTCTGTTCCCTCTCCCACACACTCTGACTGGAAGAGGACTGCAATGAACTGTTATTTTCCTGGCTGCTCCTTACCTAGACTACATATTTTCCTATAATGACACACTGTAGGACAGCCTCGAACCAGGTGCATGACTGGTTTCAGACGAGGAAAGGCAAGGAAGCAATGCTTGGTCTAACACAGTTAGGTTATGGTCAAGTGAGGGCAAACATGAGTATCAAACAGCTACGTTATTTTCTATCTGTAAATGGTATTCTTAATGTTAATCAATACGGATTCAGACCTAAAGATAGGATTACTTCGGCTACCATGCTTGTTGTAAATGATATTGAAAATGCATTAGATGGTAGAAAGAATTGTGCTGCTATATTTGTAGACTTTTCAAAACCTTTTGATACTGGGAAAGGACTGCAATGAACTGTTATTTCCCATGGCAGCTCCTTACCTAGCCTACACACCCTGGCAGCTCCTTACCTAGCCTACACACCCTGGCAGCTCCTTACCTAGCCTACACACCCTGGCAGCTCCTTACCTAGCCTACACACCCTGGCAGCTCCTTACCTAGCCTACACACCCTGGCAGCTCCTTACCTAGCCTACACACCCTGGCAGCTCCTTACCTAGCCTACACACCCTGGCAGCTCCTTACCTAGCCTACACACCCTGGCAGCTCCTTACCTAGCCTACATATTTGCCTTTATGTAGAACATCTCACAGAGCTCTCTGAAATTAGATGTTCTGGTCCCCCTGGGTCAGTTCAGAGAAATCTATGTTGATAAATGTGTCTGTTTTGCTTAATATGTTTTGTAATTTTGTATATTGTATGTTGTATATATGTTTGATGTATTTATGCAGGGCTCATCTGAAAAAGAGAACCTAGTCTCAGTATAACTTCTCTGTCAAAATAATAATAATTTGGAAAGAAATGATAAGAATGCTTCAGGGGATATACTGTAGCTTAGTGGTTAAGAGCGTAGTGCCAGTAACCGAAAGGTCGCTGGTTCTAATCCTCGAGCCGACTAGGTGAAAAATCTGTCGATGTGCCCTTGAGCAAGGCACTTAACCCTAATTGCTCCTGTAAGTCCCTCTGGATAAGAGCTTCTGCTAAAAATAAAAATATTATTAAAATAAATATAGCCTTAAGGCAAATTCTGCAAGAAAAATAATTAAGTAAATGATAGACTGAGATGTATATATACATTCCTCGTAATCATCTAAATCTAATTTTTGTGAATCAAGCAGAGATATATTGTAGGGACTCAGTGTGTCTCTCTCATCCGTGGTCCTCTGTAGCTCAGCTGGTAGAGCACGGCGCTTGTAACGCCAAGGTAGTGGGTTCGATCCCCGGGACCGCCCATACACAAAAAAAAATGTATGCACGCATGACTGTAAGTCGCTTTGGATAAAAACGTCTGCTAAATGGCATATTATATTTATATTATATATCTGGTGATGGTAGACATTTACAGCAGACAGTTGATCATTGGCTTGCCTCAATGTCTGCTCTATTGTTTATGTGTGTGTGGTTGCTCTCTAGTGGTGAAACCTTTACGTGAGAGCTGATAAATTATAAAACAGTTACTTTTACAACTTTTGTTATTTCATCATATTCCATACCGTGTATTCATTCGGTCGATTAAATTATAAAAGACAAAGGTAAGTTGAGTGAATTGTCTTCAGTACCTGTAGGCTAACTGTGTTGTAAAACTAGGTTACAGGAGTGACATATGATGAGGAATAATTATATCATGATCTGAGAATTAAATGAGAGCCACATAAGCTGGAACACTTTTAGAAACTCAGCGCATATCAAACATATCGTAGGAATTACATAATATTAACGTTAGCGTTCTCATCACCAGTCTGAGGGCACTACGGCATTTCAGCATGCGCTACTATCAAGCGCTCCTGCGCACAATAAACGAAGTGCTTGCGTTTGGAACGCCCAGGAAACCGGAAGTGATTCGCGAGCGACTCTTTTTTTGTGAATGAGTGGTGTCGCTTGATGATACTTCAGCGATGCGGAGATGATTACAGACATTTGTCAGCCTACACAATTATAGACACAATATAATTCGTCACCCACCCTAGGCTACGTATTCAGGAGAAGGAAGAAGAGTAGACTAGGGACTCTACTTCATACTCATATCAGGCGAGTTTGAAATATGCACTCTCTTCTGCTGCATCATTCAACTACAACAATACACCGTCTGTAATTCATGACCAGATTGTTATCGAACCAGATTGTTTAGTTTTTAATTTTCGGACATACAGTAGCACTCGTCATGAAGATACGAGATCCCCACTTGAGAAAAGCACATTTTCAGTCATTGACTGGCCTATAACCGTATAGATAAATAAAATAGCTCTTCAATCAATCAATAAAATATATATATATATTTACAAGAAAAATACGTTTTTTGTCATATAGAGTAGGCTTGGAAGGTACCTCATAAACAGTAATAACTATGTAATGTTGATGTTATAACATTGTAATTACAGAAAGAGAAGAGCACCACCACCATGTCATCTTCCTTCTCAGACACACTCCAGTTCCGTTTCTCCAGCCCCGCCCACGATGACTCCATCCTGCAGAAGATGAGCCAGCTGAGAGAGGATCGACGCTTCTGTGACGTCACCCTCGTCCTCGGATCGGGGTCGTTCCGCTTCCCGGGTCACCGGGTGGTCCTGGCGGCCTCCTCTGCCTTCCTCCGGGACCAGTTCCTGCTGCACGAGGGGAGCCGGGAGCTGCTGGTGACCGTGGTGCCCAGTGCGGAGGTGGGCCGTCGGCTGCTCCTGTCCTGCTACACAGGCCACCTGGAGGTCCCTCTGAGGGAACTGGTCAGCTACCTGACGGCAGCGAGCGCACTGCAGATGAGCCACGTGGTGGAGAGGTGTGCCCAGGCCATCTCTCAGTACCTGGACCCCACCCTGGCCCACCTGAAGCGGGAGAGGAGCCCAGAGACTGAGGGGACCCCTCCACCACCACCAGACAGCGTTAAACGCCAACCCAGCTCAGCATGTCTGGACGAGGGGGAGATGGAGGGGGAGACCCAAGAGGACCCAGAGGACAGGGACCACAGCCTGGACTCAGAAGACACTCTGGACAGTGTCCACATGGTACACACTAACAGCCCGTACCCTTACAGCCCGTACCCTTACCCGACGGGCGCCCACAGACGCAAGCTGCGCCCGCCCACGCCATGCAGAGAGTACAGGAAGAGGACCTTCTCTCCAGCAGGAAGTCCTGCCCACAGCAGGTCAGGACTGGCTGACAGCTCCCAGGATCAGGAAGTGGGCGGGGACTCTGGAGAGGACATATACATGCTTGCTGCTCGTCACATGCAGGGGGTTGGGGGCGGGTCTCCCGAGTCCTCCTTCGGGGTTCTGACGGGGGCAGAGTTTTCGGGACTGGGATCGGAGATCCTCCTACAGAGACCCTACCTGTGCAGGAAGTGTGACCGAGTGTTCCACCACCTGGACAGCTATGTGGGACACATAAAGGAACACAAGCTCTACCCGTGTCTTCTCTGTGGGAAGAGCTTCAGCCAGAAGAGCAACCTGACCCGACACATCAGGGTTCACACAGGGGTCAAGCCCTTCCAGGTGAGTGGAACACACCCCTCCACCCTTACAGTGTTTAAAGCACTTTGAGCATCTTGACAAGCTCCTGCGGCCACATATACTAAAATGTTTGTATTTTAGTATTGTTTGTATGTAATGTATTGCAATCTGCTTTGGATGTCACTGTCTGCTAAATTGTATATATTATTATTTTATTACTGTATTATTATTCCAGTGCCCGCTTTGCCACAAGACCTTTTCCCAGAAGGCCACGCTGCAAGACCACCTTAACCTCCACACAGGGGACAAGCCACACAAGTGCAACTACTGCGCCATCCACTTCGCACACAAACCAGGCCTCCGGCGCCACCTCAAGGACATCCACGGCAAGAGCAGCCTGCAGAATATGTTTGAGGAGGTGGTGTGAGCCTGGGAGCTGCTGGACTACTGCAGCAAGAGACTTCTGAGTTAAGCATACCAGTGCCTAAATTAAAACGACAAAGAATTAGAACTACAAAGAATTAAAACAAAAAAGAATTACAACCACAAAGAATTACAACTTTAAAGACAAAGAGGAAACTAGTGTAAATGAATTGCACTCAATGTGTATATATGCCAGTATATATATGCCACTTGTTTGCCTCTTTCCTGATGTAGCTAGGGTTTTAGCACAGACCAATGTCTAAATGAAAACTACACAGAAGAATAGGCCAGGAGGGAGAAGTAGACTAAACTATAGTGGATATAAAATATATTGGGGATAAAAATTCTCGAAATGACCAAATGAAGATGTTCTTTCACTAGTTTGCCTCTTTCCTAATGTGGTGTTTTTGCACTTTATTTTCTCCCCCCATCCAGAGACTCTAGTGAGTGTTTTGATGGACTAGCACAGGAACATACAGAATCAATCTACAAACTGTAGCTACATCACTGCTATTTATATTTGTTAGCATTAGTGTGTGTACCCACAAGTGTGTGTTTGTGTGTGTGTGCTTGTGCGTGTGCGTGTGTGTGTGTGCTTGTGCGCATGCGTGTGCGTGTGAGTATACTGTAAGAGAAATGTGTCTGCGTTTCTTTACAATAGATATCTGCTGCTTTGATGCACAACTCCTCGAAGGATCCCATGTGTGTGTTATTAAGATTATGTTTTTTAAGATGATGTTGTTAAGATGATGTTATTAAGATGATGTTATTAAGATGATGTTATTGTCACGCCCTGGCTCTGGGGACTCTTTAATGTTGAGCCAGGGTGTTAGTTCCTATGTTTAGTTGTTCTATGTTTTCTTTCAAGATCGTTTAGATCTATGTTGGCCAGGGTGGTTCCCAATCAGAGGCAGCTGTAGCTCGTTGTCTCTGATTGGGAACCATACTTAGGCAGCCTGTTTTGCACAGTTGATTGTGGGATCTTGTTCTGTATAGGTTTGTGTTGGTGAACCTTTAGACTTCACGTATCGTTTTGTTGTTTTGTTGTTGGTGTAAAGTACTCATTAAAAGATGTACGCCTATCACGCTGCGCCTTGGTCTGCCTCTAATAACGTTCATGACAGAAGATCCCACCAAAATAGGACCAAGCAGCGTGTGCAGGAGCAAACGCCGGGTATGGAACAGGAGGTTACTCTGGTAGATGTCCTCCTCGGTTGGGGGAGAATCACGGAGGAGGAGGCCGTCCGCTACCGGAGGGCGATGAGGGAGGATGCCCAGGCAGGAGAGGAGAAGCGGCACCAACCGGGCCGTCGTCGGACAGGCGAGAGGCAACCTCAATAAAAAATGTTGGGGGGGCACACGGCATGGACGACGGGGCTGCTGGAGGCAGCTACAGGGCGAGTTTGCGGACTAGGAGAGGAGGCCACCAGGTTACGGGGGCCATTGGTCATGAGGGGGAAGGAGAGTGTAGAGGCACGGCGAGAGGTACTGGGGTGTGTTACCAGTCCGGTCCGGCCCGTTCCTGATCCCCGCACAAGGCCTGTGGTGTGTGTTCCCAGTACGGTCCGGCCTGTTCCTGTCCCTCGCACCAAGCCTGTGGTGCGCGTCGCCAGCCCGGTCCGGCCTGTTCCTGCTCCCCGCACCAAGCCTGTGGTGCGCGTCGCCAGTCCGGCCCGGCCTGTTCCTGTCCCTCGCACCAAGCCTGTGGTGCGCGTCGCCAGCCCGGTCCGGCCTGTTCCTGCTCCCCGCACCAAGCCTGTGGTGTGCGTCGTCAGTCCGGCCCGGCCTGTTCCTGTCCCTCGCACCAAGCCTGTGGTGCGCGTCGCCAGCCCGGTCCGGCCTGTTCCTGCTCCCCGCACCAAGCCTGTGGTGCGCGTCGCCAGCCCGGTCCGGCCTGTTCCTGTCCCTCGCACCAAGCCTGTGGTGCGCGTCGCCAGCCCGGTCCGGCCTGTTCCTGCTCCCCGCACCAAGCCAGTGGTGCGCGTCGCCAGCCCGGTCCGGCCTGTTCCTGCTCCCCGCACCAAGCCAGTGGTGCGCGTCGTCAGCCCGGTTTGGCCTGTTCCTGCTCCCCGCACCAAGCCAGTGGTGCGCGTCGTCAGCCCGGTCCGGCCCGTTCCTGCTCCCCGCACCAAGCCAGTGGTGCGCGTCGTCAGCCCGGTCCGGCCCGTTCCCGCTCCCCGCACCAAGCCAGTGGTGCGCGTCGTCAGTCCGGCACGGTCCGTGCCTGTTCCACCTGTGCCTGGTCCGGCACCGGTCAGCTGCTCCACGCCGGAGCCAGAGCAATCCGCTCCACCGGTGTTCAGTGCAGCTCCGGCCAGCAGGGCCAGACCACGAGGGCGAGAGAGAGAGTGGTGGTCACGCCCGGAGCCGGATCCGCCTCCGAGGCGGAATGCCCACCCGGCCCCTCCCCTGTGGTGTTTGGTCAGAGGCAGCTGTAGCTCGTTGTCTCTGATTGGGAACCATACTTAGGCAGCCTGTTTTGCACAGTTGATTGTGGGATCTTGTTCTGTATAGGTTTGTGTTGGTGAACCTTTAGACTTCACGTATCTGTCACGATCGTCAGGGAGAGAAGTAGACCAATGCGCAGCGTGATGAACGAACATGATTACTTTATTTAATAAAGTGCACACACGAAACAACAAAACAATAAACGACTCGTGAAGTCCACGGTGACAATGACCGAACACGGAACAAAAACCCACAAACACAAAGTGAAAAACAGACAGTTAAATATGGCTCCCAATCAGAGACAACCAGCCAACAGCTGACACTCGTTGCCTCTGATTGGGAGTCACTAAGGCAAACATAGAAAACGACAAACTAGAACCCCCAACATAGAAATAAACCCCATAGAATGAACACACCCTGGCTCAACATATAGAGTCCCAGAGCCAGGGTGTGACAGTACCCCCCCCTAAAGGCGCGGACTGCGACCGCGCCTCAACCAGAGAAAAATAGGGGAGGGCTGGGTGGGCATTCCTCCTCGGCGGCGGTTCTGGCTCCGGGCTTGCCCACCACCCTCCAACAAACCCCCCATAGCGCCCCTGGTCCGGTCTGGCCCCGCTGGCTGGAGCTGGACTGGACGTAGCAGGAGCGGTAGGCTTCAGCTCCTTAGTGGAGCAGTTGAGCGGTACCTGATTTGGCACCGATGACCCAGGCACGGGTTGTGCCGGACTGATGACGCGCACCTCTGGCTTGGTGCGTGGAGCAGCAACTGGCCGGACCGGGCTGACGATGCGCACCCCTGGCTTGGTGCGTGTAGCAGCAACGGGCCGGACCGGGCTGACGATGCGCACCCCTGGCTTGGTGCGTGGAGCCGGAACGGGCCTCACCGGACTGACGACTCGCACCCCTGGTTTGGTGCGTGGAGCCGGAACGGGCCTCACCGGACTGACGACTCGCACCCCTGGCTTGGTGCGAGTGGCAGGAACGGGCTGGACCAGGCTGACGACTCGCACCCCTGGCTTGGTGCGAGTGGCAGGAACGAGCTGAACCAGGCTGACGACTCGCACCCCTGGCTTGGTGCGAGTGGCAGGAACAGGTTGGACCAGGCTGACGACTCGCACCGTAGGCTTGGTGCGAGGGGCAGGAACAGGCCGGGCCGGGCTGGCGACGCACACCGTAGGCTTGGTGCGAGGGGCAGGAACAGGCCGGACCGGGCTGGCGACGCACACCGTAGGCTTGGTGCGAGGGGCAGGAACAGGCCGGACCGGGCTGGCGACGCACACCGTAGGCTTGGTGCGTGGAGTAGGGACAGGCCGAACTGGGCTGGCGACGCACACCGTAGGCTTGGTGCGTGGAGCAAAGACAGGCCGGACTGGGCTGGCGACGCACACCGTAGGCTTGGTGCGTGGAGCAGGAACAGGCCGAACCGGGCTGTGGAGACGGATAGGAGACCTGGAGTGAAGAGCGGCCACAACCCGTCCTGGCTGAATGCCTACCCTCACACACTCTGTGTGAGGCATCCGCACAGGACGTACAGGGCTGTGTACCCGTACTGGCATAACAGCACGTGACACTGGAGCAGGATATCCGGGACCGCGGAGAGGCATTGGAGACCACGAGCGTTGAGCCGGCACACTCCGTCCTGGCTGCATACCCGCCTTCGCACGACACGTGCGGGGCGCTCGCACAGGACGTACAGGACTATGCCGGACCACTCGTGGCACAGAACGCCGCTCCGCATACCGCGGAACCTGCCCCGTCCCATGCTGCCATGCCTGAGTACGGGACGTTGGTTCCGCTCTCCTTCCAGGCTCCGCCAACCTGCCTTCTGGGCCCCCAAACCCGGTGGCCTCCTCTCCAAATCGCCCTGTGGCAGCCTCCTGCTGCCCAGCCGCCCATGCCGTGTGCCCCCCCCTAAAAAATTTTTGGGGTTGCCTCTCGTCCTTCCGACGATGACACTGCTGACGCCGCTGCTCCTCTCTCGCCAGGGCCTTAATCCTTGCCCATGGCCCTTTGCCCCCGAGCATGTCCTCCCAGGACCACGATTTGCCCACCTGGGCCATCGCCAGCCTCTCCATCTCCTTTCCTGGCGCTTCCTCCCATGTCCAGTCTGCCTGTTCCTGGACACGCTGCTTGGTCCTGGTACGGTGGGTTTTTCTGTCACGATCGTCAGGGAGAGAAGTAGACCAATGCGCAGCGTGATGAACGAACATGATTACTTTATTTAATAAAGTGCACACACGAAACAACAAAACAATAAACGACTCGTGAAGTCCACGGTGACAATGACCGAACACGGAACAAAAACCCACAAACACAAAGTGAAAAACAGACAGTTAAATATGGCTCCCAATCAGAGACAACCAGCCAACAGCTGACACTCGTTGCCTCTGATTGGGAGTCACTAAGGCAAACATAGAAAACGACAAACTAGAACCCCCAACATAGAAATAAACCACATAGAATGAACACACCCTGGCTCAACATATAGAGTCCCAGAGCCAGGGTGTGACAGTATCGTTTTGTTGTTTTGTTGTTGGTGTAAAGTACTCA